TGCAGCAGAACTTCTTGCAGCAGAACGTCTTGTAGCAGAACGTCTTGCAGCAGAACTTCTTGCAGCAGAACTTCTTGTAGCAGAACGTCTTGCAGCAGAACTTCTTGCAGCAGAACTTCTTGCAGCAGAACTTCTTGTAGCAGAACGTCTTGCAGCAGAACTTCTTGCAGCAGAACTTCTTGCAGCAGAACTTCTTGTAGCAGAACTTCTTGCAGCAGAACGTCTTGTGTTAGAACGTCCTCAGCAGAACTTCTTGCAGCAGAACGTCTTGCAGCAGAACTTCTGCAGCAGAACTTTTTGCGTTAGAACTTCTGCAGCAGAACTTCTTGCAGCAGAACTTCTTGCAGCAGAACTTTTGCAGCAGAACTTCTTGCAGCAGAACTTCTTGCAGCAGAACTTCTTGCAGCAGAACTTCTTGCAGCAGAACATCTGCAGCAGAACTTCTTGCAGCAGAACTTCTGAAGCAGAACTTCTTGCGGCAGAACGTCTTGTGGCAGAACTTCTGCAGCAGAACTTCTTGCAGAAGAACTTCCTGCAGAACTTCCTGCAGCAGAACTTCTTGCAGCAGAATGTTCTGCAGCAGAATTTCTTGCAGAAGAACGTCGGGCAGAACTTCCTGCAGCAGAACTTCTTGAAGAAGAACTTCCTGCAGCAGAACTTCTTGAAGAAGAACTTCCTGCAGCAGAACTTCTTGAAGAAGAACTTCCTGCAGCAGAACTTCTTGCAGAAGAACTTCCTGCAACAGAACTTCTGCAGCAGAACTTCATGCAGCAGAACGTCCTGCAGCAGAACTTCCTGCAGCAGAACTTCTTGCAACACAACTTCTTGCAGCACAACTTTGCAGCACAACTTCTTGTGTTAGAACATCTGCAGCAGAACTTCTTGCAGCAGAACCTCTGCAGCAGAGCTTCTGCAGCAGAACTTCTTGAGTTAGAACTTCTCCAGCAGAATTTCTTGCAGCAGAACTTCTGCAGCAGAACTTCTTGCGGCAGAACTTCTTGTGGCAGAACTTCTTGCAGAAGAACTTCCTGCAGCAGAACTTCAGCAGCAGAACTTCCTGCAGCAGAACTTCCTGCAGCAGAACTTCCTGCAGCAGAACTTCCTGAAGAACTTCCTGCAACAGAACTTCTGCAGCAGAACTTCATGCAGCAGAACGTCCTGCAGAAGAACTTCCTGCAGAAGAATTTCCTGCAGCACAACTTCTTGCAGCAGAACTTCTTGCAGCAGAACTTCTTGCAGCAGAACCTCTGCAGCAGAACTGATGCAGCAGAAATTCTTGTGTTAGAACTTCTGCAGCAGAACTGATGCAGGAGAACTTCTGCAGCAGAAATTCTTACAGCAGAACTTCTGCAGCAGAACTTCTGCAGCAGAACTTCTTGTGTTAGAACTTCTGCAGTGGAACTTCTGCAGCAGAACTTCCTGCAGCAGAACTTCTTGCAGCAGAACTTCCTGCAGCAGAACTTCTTGCAGCATCTTTTTGTCCACAAACGTTGCTAAGTTCTCATGAATCAACGTCGACACGTCCCCCAGAGTTTCACAGTCAAGGTGTTGTGAGTTTCCTTTTATAATCAGGTGTAAAAAGCTGGAGAGGAGAGGCTCAGCAGAAACCAGCAGGAAACATTTTATCTGTTAAAATTATTTAACATAATTTAATCTGTTTAAATACTAATTTTGTTTCTGGATCATTCAGCACAGAAGAAAAATACTTTAATATTATATCTGTTTTAATTCTAACAATCTAATCTTAGTTGTTGTTGTTTCCAGTAAAAGAAACCCCAACCAGAGCTGCGGTTCAGTTCTGCTTCACCCTCTGTTCTGCAGTTTTAGTCCAGTCCTCGGCTATTTTTAGAGGAAGAATTGCTCATTGAACTGTAGCGGCTCCAACACAAACAGAGGGAGCGCGGTAGTGCCAGATCACTCCCTCAGGAGCTCAGGTGAAGGTAGCTGCAGGAAATATTCAGCAGGTGAAAACAACGACTAACATCAGGTTCAGGACTGGGTTCAGACCTTTAAAACACTTCTGTACAATCAGTCATCTTAGAAAATAAAAACAAAAAGCTTGATCTTGTTCTTAACACCTGCTGCCACTGAATCTGGGCGATCAACTCATGTTAGCAAAATATATACAGCATAGTAACACTTTCAGAGTTTAATAGCTTGGATGCAACCAGTGGTGGGCACAACTTACCAAAACGTTTCACTAACTACTAATCCGCAAAACAAGAAGCTTAGCTCTCCTAACGCTAAACAGCTAAACCGATAAACAGCTAAACACATTTAAAGACGAGCAGAAGCTAACGCTAACTACAAAAACTGGAGGGACTAATAATCCAAGCCAGAGTTATATCTCTGTCTAACTTCCAGTTTAACCTTTTCAGAATAAGAGCATTAATTTGATCAACTTTGTCATTTTATAAATACCGTTTGAAGTTAGTCAAACAAAGGAAGTTTTACACTTGGGAATATTTTAGTGGACTTAAAATTAGCAGAAAGCTAATTGGTCCACTAGCGGTTTCCAAAGTTAGCAAAAACGCTAACCGCTAAATGAGAAGCTAGTTTAGATATTAGCAGGTTAGAGGAACTGTGCCCACCCCTTTGTGGAGTCAACCTGATTCAAAACGTCGCAGCAGCTGCACTGATGCGCAGCGTCGACGTAGAACCTTTTACATTTTTGGAACAGAAGCTTTCGCTCCAACTTTTAATTTGAAAAGCCACATCAAAGCTGGAACTCACAGCATCTGCTCTCCTGCCTCATGTCCGTCCACGTCCCGTCAGAGAGACACTTCCTGACCTTTGGGCCCACGATGACCCGGTGCCCTCTGCAGATGTATTCGATCTCATAATCCACCGGCAGGTTCTGCACGCTGCGGATCTGTGGGGGGGAGAGTCAAGAGTTTACCTTCGACTAACCGTGAGCTCAGAGCAGGATGAGCCCAATCCAAGTTCTGACCCGGTCTGTGAGTCCGACTGAGTGGAGGAGTCTGTGAGCGGGTCAGAACTTTTTGTTTCAGCCAGGGTCCACACCAACCTGCAGCCGAACATCTCTGTTCTGAAAATTTTTCTGTTGTTTAATTACTTTTATTTTTTTAGCTACAATGTGGAAATTTACTATTTAGCTACCTTTGGCCTTAAGCTAACGTTAAATTAGCTTTAACTACCAATATGCTACTTTTAGCTACCATGCTGCCAGTTTTAGCTTTATTGTTGGTTACTACACTTCCCACTTTTAGTTATTGCTTTGCTATGTTTAGCTTTTAGCTGTCATTCAGACACTTCCAGCTTTTAGTTATTGCTTTGCTATGTTTAGCTTTTAGCTATCATTTAGACACTTCCAACTTTTAGTTATTGTTTTGCTATGTTTAGCTTTTAGCTATCATTCAGACACTTCCAACTTTTAGTTATTGTTTTGCTATGTTTAGCTTTTAGCTATCATTTAGACACTTCCAACTTTTAGTTATTGTTTTGCTATGTTTAGCTTTTAGCTATCATTCAGACACTTCCTGCTTTTAGTTATTGTTTTGCTACGTTTAGCTTTTAGCTATCATTTAGACACTTCCAATTTTTAGTTATTGTTTTGCTATGTTTAGCTTTTAACTACCATTCAGAAACTTCCAACTTTTAGTTATCGCTTTGCTACATTTAGCTTTTAGCTATCATTCAGACACTTCCAGCTTTTAGTTATTGTTTTGTTACAATTAGCTTTTAGCTATCATTTAGACACTTCCAATTTTTAGTTGTTTTGCTACATTTAGCTTTTAGCTATCATTCAGACACTTCCAGCTTTTAGTTATTGTTTTGCTACATTTAGATTTTAGCTATCATTCAGACACTTCCAACTTTTAGTTGTTTTGCTACATTTAGCTTTTAGCTATCATTCAGACACTTCCAGCTTTTAGTTATTGTTTTGCTATGTTTATCTTTTAGCTATCATTCAGACACTTCCAGCTTTTAGTTATTGTTTTGCTACGTTTAGCTTTTAGCTATCATTCAGACACTTCCAACTTTTAGTTATTGTTTTGTTACGTTTAGCTTTTAGCTATCATTCTGTTTCATATAGCTTTTCATTGTGCTCCTTGTACATTTTAGCTACAGTTTAGTTTTTGTTCTGATTTTTTTTTTAGCTTAAAGCTTCTTCAGCAGATTTCAGCAGTTATTCGTCTCTCAGCATCAGCTGTATTTTAGCTGTCATTCAAGCCGTTGATCAGAAGGCAGGTTTTAATAAACACAAATATTTAAACAACTGCAGTTTTTCGGCTTTATTGTTGTTTTCGTTGCTCAATAATTAGCTAAAGAAGTATCTGTCCTCACTCTCAGCTGTAATCAGCAGATAATTAGCATGCGTACCTCTTCTTGTGTGAGCCCTCTGTAGCGGATCCCCCCGTCCCTCGGAGGCCGGATGATGCTGCAGCCTGAGACAAAGACACGAAGACGAAGGACAGCGTGAGGACAAAGTGAGAGATCCGTCTTCAGCGTCACAGTAAGGTATCAGCCGAAGCTCCGCTCGCCTCACTGAACAAACTACATCGTGTGATTCAGGTCGCTCAGCAGAGCTCCTGCTGTCCGTTAACATAAACACTAATTACCTCCAGATGATGAATTATGGATGGGCACGACGAGGGACGGAAGACAGCAGAGGACGAGGAGAAACAAGACCTGGTCCATGTCTGGATCTGTGAGAGACACAGGAGAGAGGGAGGATCAGAAAACAGAACCGTGGCAGGAAAATTACAGCTTTTAGACGAAGACGAGGGAAAAATAGATGATAAACAACATTTTCTCAGGAGATATTCCCACTGATCAAATACAGCTTTATTCTCATTACATGGTGGCACAGTGGTCGGTGCTGCTGTCTCATAATCCTGAGGCTGCAGGTTCGAGACCAAGTTACCTCACCTTTAAACATTAAAGTTGGACATTTGCCAGGAGAAACCTGTGAGCTTTACAGAGACTGATACAAAGCAGCAGAAGGCTAGCTAAAAGGAGAAAAACATTAGCTACATTGAGCAGAACACTAGCTAAAAACAGAAACACTAGCTACAATGAGCAGAACACTAGCTAAAAAGAGAAAAAAATTAGCTACAATGAGCACAACACTAGCTAAAAGGAGAAAATCATTAGCTACAATGAGCAGAACGCTAGCTACAGTGAGCAGAACCATAGCTAAAAAGAGAAAAACATTAGCTACAATGAGCAGAAGACTAGCTAAAAAGAGCAAAACACTAGCTACAATGAGCAGAAGACTAGCTAAAAAGAGCAAAACACTAGCTACAATGAGCAGAAGACTAGCTAAAAAGAGCAAAACACTAGCTATAAAAAACACTAGCTACAATGAGCAGAAGACTAGCTAAAAGAGAAAAACACAAGCTTCAATGAGCAGAAGACTAGCTAAAAGAGAAAAACACTAGCTACAATGAGCAGAACACTAGCTAAAAAGAGAAAAAATTAGCTACAATGAGCAGAAGACTAGCTAAAAGAGAAAAACACTAGCTACAATGAGCAGAAAACTAGCTAAAAGAGAAAAAATTAGCTACAATGAGCAGAAGACTAGCTAAAAAGAGCAAAACACTAGCTACAATGAGCAGAAGACTAGCTAAAAAGAGCAAAACACTAGCTACAAAAAACACTAGCTTCAATGAGCAGAAGACTAGCTAAAAGAAGAAAAACACTAGCTACAATGAGCAGAAGACTAGCTAAAAGAAGAAAAACACTAGCTACAATGAGCAGAAAACTAGCTAAAAGAGAAAAACACCAGCTACAATGAGCAGAAGACTAGCTAAAAAGAGAAAAACACTAGCTACAAAAAACACTAGCTACAATGAGCAGAAGACTAGCTAAAAGAAGAAAAACACTAGCTACAATAAGCAGAAGACCAGCTAAAAGAGAAAGACACTAGCTACAATGAGCAGAAGACTAGCTAAAAGAAAAACACTAGCTACAATGAGCAGAACACTAGCTAAAAGAGAAAGACACTAGCTACAATGAGCAGAAGACTAGCTAAAAGAAAAACACTAGCTACAATGAGCAGAACCATAGCTAAAAGAAGAAAAACACTAGCTACAGTGAGCAGAACCATAGCTAAAAGAAGAAAAACACTAGCTACAGTGAGCAGAACCATAGCTAAAAGAATCAAAACACTAGCTAAAAACTGAAGAATCAGAGCAGGACATTGACTAAACGCTAAAAGAAGTGGTAAACTAGCTAAAAGCTGAAAAGAAGCATGACACTAGCTAAAAGTAAAGTCTTATATAACTTATATCCCTTAAGTTTTAACTATTTTCTTTTAATACGATTTTAATAACTATTTTTTTTCTCTTCTTTCAAATATTACTCATTGGCAAATGTAAAATTAGTTGTTGTTTTTTTTTTTTTTTTTTAAACAATGAATGACCCTAATACGTCACAGATAGGACCCTCAGGGGTCAGAAATTCTTTCAGTGCCCACCCTGACAAACCATCACATGAACTGCACCAGAACACAAAAACCTCAAGCTAATTATGCTAACAGTAAGTTCGACAAACAACTAAAGGCCTTAAAATTAATAACACACAAAACTACAAGTTCTTACTTTAGAGGGTTTAGCTCTGCTGAACATCCCTGGCTAAAGACCTCGGGAGTTGTACGAAATTCTGTGGAGCTACAAGCTAGCTTCCCGTCCTCTGAATAAATACTCGAACTTTAATTTGAAACTATTTATCAAACGGGTTTTTTTTCCTTACCTTTGAATTTTGTTTTATTTATTTTTTATGGTTGAACTATCGTAATTAAAAGAGAAGGTCGAATAAATATCAGTTTCGGGTTGTTTTGAAGCTAAAGGCTAATGAAAACTGACGATCAATCACTCAGTGCCCGCCCACTTTAGACATTAGCCAATCAGGACGAAGGATTTAGTTTGCTCCAGGGTTAACGTCTTTCTGGCCAATAACAATTCAGTTTCCTGGAAAGAGACTAGAGTTTATTTGATTCTGATTGGACAACTGCATTGTTTATGGTGATTTGGTGACAGATTAAAAATAAAAGCAAACATGAGTAAAATATTATTATTAATATATTTAAATTAATCGCTGTAAAGCAGAAACTATAGTCTTATTGAAACATTTAGAAAAAAACATTAAAAGAATAAAATACAAAATTGTTCGGAGATTTTAGGAGATTCGATGAACTTAAATAAGTCGTATTTCACTGCAGGGCAGGACTTAAACTGTGCATGCTAAAATGCTGTTTAAATTTTAACTTGAGTATTTTTTTTCAGCTTTATACAGTTTTCATTTAACTGTACTTTATTTACAGGGGACTGCAAAAAGTAGCCTGCTTCCAGAGCAGATACGTGTTTATAGACTCCTATAAAATAAAATGTTAAACAACGTCACAAACACATTTTCATTATTTAACTCATTTTCTGTGTGTAAAATATAACTTAAAATTTTTAATCTATAATTTTCTTTTTATTTAGCCCACTGTTCTTACATCATGCTAAATTTTAATAAATGTTGTGGCTAAATGTTGAATGTTAAGTGTTTCAGAATGGAATTATCGTTGCGCTGCCTTTGTTGTGATGTCATCATCCTGCGACAAAAGCAAATGCTAACACAGCTGAAGCTTCCCAAAGACATCAAACTTGCAGCTGTGGCCGGTGTCCGAGCTGCACTTATTCAGCAGCAGTTAGCAGCAGTTAGCGTTGCCTTACCAGGATGATGTCATCAACCCGCGACAAACATCAACACTTAGCCGCCGCTAACGCTGCAGAAGATGCTATTTAAAATGTAAATTCAACACGTGTACATTGAAAACAACGTGGACGGTTCCTGTGGGCCAGCAGTTTGAAGCGTAGCTCAGACACCTGCTGCGAGTTTGATGTCTTGTAGCGAAGCTGCATTGCTACTGTCTCATGGTGATGATGTCATAACATGAGCCCAGCACCTTGTGTTGCATTCCATTCTGAAATTGAACATTTAAGACATTTTTCACTTTTAAGTTTTAACTTTCGCATTTAGATTTAGGATTTAACATGTAGACAAAACATTTAAAACAAAATAATAATATTTTGTGAAAATTTGCTAAATCTAAGAACAGTGACAATAAAATGGTAGTGGAATTTTTAAAATTACTTTTGCTCTCAGAATGTCAGATATATGAGGAAAGTGTGTTAGTGACATTTTTTAACAGTTTATTTTACATTTGACACCTCATACTTACAGGGGACTGTGTAGGGTATATGTGAATTTGTACAGAGGACCATGAATAGAGTATTTACATGTATGTGTATATACAGGGGACCATGTATAGAGTATGTACATGTGTGTATATTTACGGATGTATACAGTATGTACATGTGTGTATATGTACAGGGGACCATGTATACAGTATGTACATGTGTGTATATGTACAGAGGACCATGTATACAGTATGCACATGTGTGTATATGTACAGAAGACCATGTATACAGTGTGTACATGTGTGTATATGTACAGGGGTGCTGCAGGGCAGCAGGCTGTGCTGAAGCTGTGACCCTGCCCTGTCCTGTTGTTTGGTTCAGGTTTTATGAGGACTCAGACCTAGAGGAGCCTGCACAGATCAGACGGTTGCAGTCACAACGTTCAGATAAAGTCACAGCGTGGTTTTGATTGAACATGTGAGATTATATTAGATTATTATCTGAGGATAAATAAAATGATTGATCTTTTAACGGGTGGATCAGCAGAGTGTGTGGTTGCAACAGAGCTGAACACCCTGCAGAGCTGCTAGTTTCTGAGGAGGTGCTACACAAATACAACATAAACTTCACACTCATAGGCCAGCAGGAGGGTGTGTGTTCAGTGTGTGTGTGTG